GGGAGCGGAAAGGCGGGCTGGGCAAAGGGCTGAGGCCGGACTGCAGGTGCCTGGACTGGGTGCCGCCCCCTCTCGTCCCAACCTGGACTGCGACCCCAGAGGGATGTGGGGCCCCTCGGGATCCGGGGTCACCCGGATCCCTGCGTTCCGGGCCCCGGAGACCTCTTCGGCCTCCACAACCTCCTTTCAGTGAGGCTAGAAGGGCCTTTGGCTCCCACTTCCACAGGATCCTTCCTGGTGTGGAGGGAGTCATGACTACGAAGACAAGAAAATAGTGGAATCTTGCCCCAAAAAAAGGCATAAGTAGGATGCACACACCGAGCAGCCCTCGAAGAGAGGCCCTGAGAGCAAGCAGGTTGCACGAAGGTGAACTGATGGGTAACTCGGTGGCCGGCCCAGCTCGCCCGCAGGCTCCCTCCCAGGCTGCTTTTGCTCACCCAGGAGCCCCGCTGTCCCCGAATCTTGTCACGCTACCCCCCAGCTAAGGGCGTGTTCTGTAGGCTGCTTTCCCACTGCACGTCCTGGTTCTTCTCTTAATGTCCAGATCATTAGTTCCCCGGAAAGGAAAGCACAGCCTACCCGGAAAATGGACACTTCCGTCTGAGAGAGGGAGAGGGGGCGGGACTTGGGGCCCCCAGGCAGAGGGAGAAGTAGACCCCGAGTGAGATGGATTGTACTTGAGTGAAGGAACAGGGTAGAGGTGGCTGAAGGGAATCTTCGGAAATCTGCTTTGTCATGTTCAGGACATGCCACTGAAGACTAGAGTCGCCTTTCCAGTGGGCTCTTAGTCTGGGTTTATCAGAGTAAGACTTCAAGGTGAGGCTGGTCTGCCACGTTGTCAGGCGGCACTTGTGTGACTGTGGTGCCGCAGCCGGCTGAGAAGACCTTTACTGTGTGAACAAAACTTAGGCCAGGGCTGGGGAACAGTCTGTAAAGAGAGCCATGTCTTGTACACAGAGATCTCGCTTAATGTTGTCCATGTTTCTGCTTCTTCGATTTTAGAAAAAGGCAGAAGAATGAACTCTTTATCTACAGTACTGCCTACCTTTCTGCACAGGCGTACATGTATGACGTGTATGTGTATATGAATATTACAAAGGCGTGCAATTAAGGCCATGCTAGGTCCTTAGAACGTACTTACTACATGTCTACTCGGGCATTTATTGTTGCCTGGAAAACTAAGATATTTATAAAGTTTAGTTAGGGAAACTAATAGATACCTTCCTTCACAATGGAAAGATAAATTGAACCTGAATTCTGTGGTGTCGAGCCACAAGAGAGGCCCCATCTGAGAAAAACATAACCAAGCAGTCATAAAAGTAGTACAGTACTTTGGGTTTTTCCTTCTTCTGAGGAACCATCTGAGGAAATTTAAATATAGAATCTCCAAGGAGCTTTCCACACTACAGGATTTTTATACTAAAATTGTTCTCACTGAGCCCTTTCCACATGCAAGACTTCTGTTTAAAGTACAACAGCAGATTCATAAGAAGTTATAAAATTATACAAACAAAACTGTCGCAGTGTCCTTGTTTAATGTTATCCTAAAAAGAATGGCAAGGGCTATTAGGAAAAAATTTAAAAATCTTTGAAGGAAACAATATTACAATACATTTTACAGATGATGTAAGTGAATTTAATGATTTCATCCAGCAACAAATATGTAATGCATTAATGCAGCAGCTTCTATGCTAAATGCTGGGAGTGCAGCAGTTAATGAGATGCTATGAAGGCAAAGGCCATGTTTGTCTTGTGGGCAAAACACACACACACACACACACACACACACACACACAGCCCGCAAGTACAGGGGAATGGGTGTGAAGAAAGAAGTTCGTAGGGAAGAGGAGGGGTGGTCAGAGAGCGCACAGCTAAATACACAGCATCTAAGCAGAGGCCTGCAGTAAGAGGCTTGATGCGTGGAGGAGAAGCCATAGGGAAAGTGGTTTCAAGAAGGAGAAACGAGGGCCGGGGATTTAGCTCAGCAGTTCAGTGGCCTGCCTTGCAAGCGCGAGGACCTGAGTTCAATCCCCAGTACCACCCCCCACAAAAAAAGGAGAAATGAGCTGGGTGTGGTGGTGCACACCTGTAAGTGAAGCACTCAGAGAGGCTGAGGCAGGAGGATCCCAAGTTTGAAGCCCAGCCTGAGCAACTGAGCCACTTACTGAGATCCTGTCTCAAAAAGTAAAAACAGGAGTGGGTTGTAGCTCAGTCCCCAGAGGAGACGGAGGGGAAGGAGGAGAAGTGTTGTGTATGTTATGTGTTAGGATGCTGTAGAGCAAGGCCTCAGAAGTTTGGAGAGGATGAGATACACAAGCCAGGGCAAGACTGGAATTGGCCTCCCGTGGGAGTAGGGACACGTCGTCCAGTGTCACCGGGAGGAGGAAGAAGAGGCAGCTAGGGCTGCGGCGCCCTTGCAGTGGTGCCTGAGCTGAAGGGATGCCTGCCTGGCGGCTGTGTGTCCTCAGTGGTGTGCAAGGTGAGGTTGCCTGTGCTGCTGGAAGAAGGCAGAGCTGAGATCTTGCTGAAACTGGACAAACGGGTTTAAGACTTGCACGTGCCACTGCCCCTGTAGTCACTGTAATTTTTACATCAGAAGAGTAAAACACTGTAGCCAGCTCTGGCTTTAACGGATGCATGCGCTGATGTAACACAAATCCCTATGACAGAGGGTGTCACCTACTGTGACTCCCGAGGAATATTGAAGCCTCTCTACATCTCTCAGTTTTCTGTATCAATACACTGTCCAATCCATTACCCAGCATGGCACAGGTGCTCATACCCACTTACTAAATAAGCGTGCATGGGACATGATAGTAAACAGGACTCTTTCATCCAGGCTTTGTAGGGCACATGCATTTTATTTTATTAATAAGCAGGAGGCAGTCAGTCGCCAGTAGAATTTTTTTTCTTCCCCAATGAAATCTAATAAAGGTCACACAAATGTCACTCTAGGCCAGAGCTGTTCCTTTCCCCGGATTCCAGATGGAGGCCTGCAGGGCGGCGTGGGGGATCTTCTGCTTCTGTTTGGTTTTCTGCCTCTTCTGTTCTTGCCCCTGCACAAAGCCATTCTGAGACAAGTTCTTCCTAAGTTGTTAAGGTGCACCGGCTGGCCTCACATTCGAGATTCTCATGCCTCAGCTTCCCATAGGGCTGGGATCACAAGCGTGCTCCACCACACAGGGCTTGGAATCCCTTTTGAAAAAAATTTAGGCTTACTAAGTCGCTAAATTTCCCAGACTGACCTCCAATTTGTGATATTCCTGCCTCAGCCTTCCAAGTGATAGGGTTACGGGCGGTCGCTGTGCGTGCCTTTCTGATAGACACTGTACAAGGGCAGGTTTTCCCTGCTCTTCTACCGCTGGGCATGAGGGTTTGGCCCACGGGGACTATTCCGTCTCATCAAAGCTCCTAGAAACCGAAGCTCACACAGAGATATAAAGAGGCGCTTGGAATGTTTTCAGTTACAGATCTGACTTGTTACCATCAGTCAGACTTTGATTTTGTGGGTTTTTTGTTTCATTTTTGAGGCAGGGCCTCACTATGTAGTTCAACTGACTTTGAACTCACTATGTACCCTAGGCTGGCCTTAAACTCAAGGTGATCCTCCTGCCTCAGCCTCCACAGTGCTGGGATTATAGTTGTGTACCACCGTGCCTGGCTTAGCATTTACATCTTTAATTTATGTTTATTCTTGCATGTCTTTCATTATTAATTAAATTGCTTATATATCTGTGACTCACAATGATAGAATTTTCTTCCTAAATTTAATTTTTCCCTTAAAATAACAGTTTTTACAGCCACCACTGTTGTGACTTACTCCCTTTCGACTATTAATAGAATTTCACTACCAATGCTTCCCTGGCTTTGACGCTGCACATTCGTAGATGAGCGCTCATTCCACCTGGCGAAGCTGGCGCTGCCCGTTTACACAGTGCCAATCCGGTGCCAAGGCAACCCAGCAGGTCACCTGAGGGAACACAGGTGAAACGGGAACTGGACAATTTGGCTCTCCAAGGCCAAGGCCAAAGTAAAGCTGGAAAGCAGATTTTGGCCAAGCACCAAGGCCACTACCCAGCTGAACTGGAACATTTATCTTGCTTTTGGCAGGAGAGACAAGACGATCTAAAAATCGAGGCCAGGAGCGGTGACAGAACGCGGCCTCAAAACTGAAGCTCGTAGGAAATCAAAAGCAGCCAGAGGCAACGCCTGTGTGTGCTCAGCGTGTAAAATAAATCCACCCAAATTCCCAGGCAGCAGGGGCAAACGGAGGGGAAGGAGGGTCCGGCCGAAAGCCCAGGCCCAGGCCAGGCGTGAGCATCGGGGTGGCGCTGTGCTTGTCTCGTGTGCCGGTGCAGGACAGGGAGCAGGGCTGTGATCCAGGCGGGCGCCCGGCACGGAGCCCTGGCCCTGGCCCTGGCCCAGGCTTCTCCTTGGAAGGGTCCGGTCAGAATCCCTGAAGAACAATCTCAGGCCCGCGGCAGAGCCCTCCAGCTCCTTCTCCAAAGTGCTTACCCCATGGACAATGCCACGCGTTTGCTCTGGGGGCCTTATTTACTCTAATACCTCTAGCAACAGCTCACTGCCTATTTTATTCATTTTACTTTATTGAGACAGAGGTTTGCTCTGTAATCCAGGTGGGCCTAGAACTCACTGGCCTGAAACTCATGGCAGTCCTCCTGCCTCGGCCTCCTGAGTGCTGGGAATACGGGTGAGTCACCGCACTCTGCCCACTGCCTGCCTTAAACATGCTTTCGTATCTCCTGGACTCTCTTGCGAAGTTCATCCCACTTAGCGTGCCCTTCCCATGTGGTAAATTATTTCCACCCCTTCCTGGATGAAAAGGATCCTCCTCAAAATTCCTCTAGCTCTTGTGCCACGTGCCGCTGAATCGTCTGTGTGCTGAGTGTCATTATTTACTCAAGTACTTCCCCCGGAAGAGTGTGCACTCCTTGGGAATGGTGTTTGTTGAATGACTGAATGAGTTTGACTTCAGAGCTCACTACGTGGACAGAGGAGAACGAGAGGGAATTAATTAAGCAGTGACTTTAAGTGGAAACTCCCGCCCAGCTCCTGCAGGGATGCAAGGTGCGTGCACGGGAATTGAGAACAGAAGATGCCACATCCAAGCAGCATTTGTGGACAGTAGGATCAATCACACAGAGACCAGCCGGTCCGCGCGGCCGAGACTAACCTCACTCAGGTAAGAGGGTAAGCCCGGAGAATCAGATAAAAAAGTTCCACCTGGCATTTATTTTTATGGTAGCGAAGCCAGCTGAAAATGGAGTCAGTCCTGCGATTCATCACGATGAGCGCTTCCAAACCTCAGCCCTCTCAGTTCGTTATGCCCCCCAGCGAGTCCACCTCTCAGCCTGTACCGTGGAATTTCCTCTCCTCCGTGAGTGCAGTAGAACCGATTCAGGAGCGTCTGAAAGCCTTCGCGGACGTGTGCCTAGGTGTCTGTGTCAGGGGCTCAGCTCCGCAGGCCTCTGTCCTCCCTGGAAGGAGCTGACCGCACCCGCAGGACCTGACTTGGACCCAGCATGGTGAGGCCACCCCTGCTCCGGTGACTCTGGAGCCTGGGCTGTGGCCGGGCCGGCCACACCTGCCCACTGCAGGGGGAGGAGGAGGAGGTCCTGAAAAAGCTGAAAGTGGCAGGATGATGCCTCTGCAGGAGTGCCTGCTCCTAACAACGCCATCAGAGGAAGCGCATATGATGGGTTGGATTTGTTTTTTTCCTTTTCTGGAGCTCTAAATATTTTTGCATAAATATCATCACAACAGTAAGAAGAAAATGACCTACAACTTATCTTCTTAACACATGAGAGGATTTGTGTGTGTGTGTGTGTGTGCATGCGCGTGCATGCACACTTATGTTTCTGCTTTTTGTTTGTTTTCGGATGGCCTGGAACTCACAGTGATCCTCCTGCCTCAGCCTCCCGAGTGCTGGGATTATAGGTGTGCGCCACGACACCCTGCAGTTTCTGATCATCTGTGTGCACAGATACCGTTGTCTGTATCATGTGGGGGCGGTTGGGCCTGTTGTACAGCGGGGTCACTGCTCTCTAGAAATGGGGTGGGAGAAGATCCCTGTGTACATAGGATCTGGGGAGTCTGAGAGAAGAGCCGGCCCAGGACGGGGCAGGGCAGGGCTTCCATCCCTCCATGGGGCAGTGCTGCCGAGCACACCCTCCCCACCCAGCCGTCTAGGCCTGGGGGTAGGAAGTCCATTAGGTAAGTGTGGGTGAAAGAAAGAAGAGAAAATCCTAAAGTCACCTTGGACGCCCAGAGAAGGGCGTCCTACAGCCCTGGTGGGTTTCGTGCAAGACTCTTGTCCATAGCAAACTACACCTGCTTCCCCGCCTGTGCCTGGCGGGTTGGCAGAACTCCGACCTCACCTCACGCTCAGCTCCCCTGTGCCGTCTCCTCCCGCTGGGTGGGAGCCGGGGGAAGGGGGGCTCTGGCTTCCCAGCCCAAAGTCGGGCTCTGTGGCTTCCAGTGCGAAGCTTTGAAGGAGTCACAACCTCAGAAAGAAAAACCCCCAAAGACTGCAGCCCCTGGGGGTCAAGCACCATAGGAAATGGGGAGATGGGGTGGGCAGAGGGGGACCAGGAGACAGCGCGGGGACAGGGGAGCCGAGGTGGCGTAGAGCAAGAAGAGTCAGGTGCCTGCTCCAGCCCGGCAGGAGTGTGGTGCGCTGCGCTGCAGACCTGGGCCAGCAGTGGGGCCAGAAGTGCTTTACTGAGAGCAGTCTTCGCTGATTCTGCCAGAAACGGGTCACAGCAGTTGCCCTGGCACTCGCGGGCTGCCACGTCCTGAGCTGGCAGAGCCTCCCAGATGCTGCCCCGCGTGCCACCTGCGCCTACGCCAGCCCGAAGCTCAGTGTCCGACCAGGGGGGCAGGGGAGGGGAGGCCCAGGGGCTGCTGGGCGGGGACCCTGAATCTGCCAGGGCCAGAATCTGGGTCTGGATTCCCCTGCCTTCCCACCACCCAGAGCACAGGACAGCTCACAGAAACGGGAACCCAGCGGACTCACAAACGGGTCTCCCTGGCACGCAGGAGGCCCAGCTGGCGCAGGGGTGGAATGAAAGCCCGAGGTGTCCAGAAAACGCCTGTGGTCCTGGTCTCGGTTGGCGCTTCCTCAGGGCCAGGGCTCAGCCGACAGCAGTTTCTCAGCACATGGAAACTGGAGAAATTGTTTTGCTTTATTTTTATTTTTCAATTTACTTCATTTTTGGAATGTTTTTCTTTCTTATTTTTTAATTTTTTGGGGACAGGTTCTCACTGTGCAGTTCAGGCTGGCCTTAAACTTGCAGCGATCCTCCTGCCTCAGCCTCCCGAGTGCTGGGATTATGGGCTTGCGCCACCACAACCAGAAATAGGAGAGGCCTCGGGGTGCCTGGTGAGCTGGGGCCTGGGGACTTTCCCGGCCCCAACCTCCCCCTTCTCAAAGCCTGGTGAGCACGCTGGCTCCAGGGCGCAGTGACCCAGACTGGGTGGAAGCATCCTGACAGTCCATCCCCTCTCCCCCGTCCGCCTCTCTCCTCCCCATGCAGTGCCAAACGGGAGGGATTTGTGGTTGGGGCTGTTAGTCGTTCCTTCCTGAGGTCTAATGGGTGGTTTTTTCCCCTGCATTGTGTTCCTGAAATTGTGTGTTGGCGGGATTATTGGTCAGGACCAGTTTCAAAAGCAGGAAGGTTTTCTTTTCTCTTGGTGGGGGATAGGCTCTGCGGGGTCACACTCCCTACAAGAGCAGAGTGCAGGGTGTTCTGTAGGAAGCTGGACGGCAATAGGCGGTGAACACTCACTCTTTAGAATCCTTGGTAAATAGTGGTCACCTGCTAAGAATGCAGATCAGGCGTGGTAAAAGGACAGAAGACGTTCTGAGGCCACTTCAGATCAGTGACTCCGACTGCCTCGGTGAACAAGTGGCATTTAAGTGGCACCCAGGAGGAAAGGAGGTGAAGAGCTGTCCAGGCACTGGGAGGAACCAAGTTCCGGGAAAAAGCTACAGCAAGTGCAATGGCCCTGTGGTAGAAGGGGAGCCTGGCAAGTCTGAAGAACAGAAGACCAGGTGGCTCTGTGTGAAATTACAGCTACAGGAGGCCGGGGCAGGGGAAAGGAAGGAGGTTGGATGGCCATCCGCATGGCCTAAGCAGGGGAACAGTCACTCGGGTTTGGGGTGTAGTTTGTAAGTGAAGACCACAGAGTGTGAGGATAATTCGGGTATGAGAGGAACAGCCGCCTGAAGAGTCCCTCTCAGTGCTTGGCCTGAGCTGTGGTGAAGGATGGGGACCTTCGCTGGGGACGGCAGAGGTGGACTTCGGAGCGGAGGGGCCAGGCCACAGCTGCAGAGCAAGCCCTGTTCACTTCAACAATAACAAGAAATGTAAGAAGGGAATTCGGCCCCCACGGAGAGAGCCCTGCTCTGGTTCAGGAGCAGGTGGGGACCCTGGGAGGAGCGTCCAGGGATTTCCGGACAGCTGAGTTCTGGAGTCCTGCATCCCACCCCCAGGGGCCTGGGCGCAGTGAGAAGTGGAAGGCAGGGCGGGAGACGTAGCTCAGTGGCGCCGCTGCCAGCCTCGCAAGCGCGAAGTCCCGAGCTCGATCTCCGGTCCCAGACGAACAAAACTGGACGGCAGCCAGCAAGGGCGAAACACAGCCTTCCTTGGCGGTGCTCCTAGCTCTGTTTCCCTCGGTTGCTTGACCCCTCCGGGAGGCCGCGGGGAGCCACCGATTGCGAGATGTGGCGAGCGCACCGCGGATGAGGAAAGGCCATGGCCAGGAGCCGGGCCGCATCACCTGATGTGTGACGATCCGGGGTCACTGACATCCGGGGATTGGGTCGCATTCAGCAGGCTGGGGACCTGTGCTGCAGGGTGCTGCCGCCGTGTAGACGCGGTCTGGGAGGGAATGAGGGAGACCCAGCACAGCGTTTCAACAGGCGGGAAAGCTCTGCTCGCAAGCTCTTCTCATGAGGCGTTTTGCCAGAATTGCTAAATAAGCCCGGACTGCGTTCCCATAACAGATCTCGCCAGAGACTTCTTTGTACAGAGGAATCTCCTGTCTTTCCATTCTCTTTCTTTCATTTGGTTCTGTTTGTTTGTTTGAGACACGGTCTCACTATATAGCCTAGGCTAGCCTCAGACTCATGGAGATCCTCCTGCCTCAGCCTCCTGAGTGCTGGGAATACAGGTGTGTGTCACTGTGACCTATACCCATCCTTTCTAGGGTACAGAGAACCTTCTGAGCAGGAATCTTGACCTAACTGGGTTGGCAGTGGCCTATTATTTTTTGGTGATGTAAAAAATAGCATAATATAAAATTAACACCCCCACCACCCTGCACAGCACTGGGGAGTGAACCCAGGGCCTTTGCATGGATTATATCCCCAGCCTTTTTATTTTTTATTTTGAGACAGGGTCTCTCTAAATTGTTGCATTGCCCAGGCTGGGCTCCAACTTGGAACCGTCCTGCTTCAGGTTTGTGTGCTGGAATCTCAGGCGTGCACCACTACGCTCAGTTTAAAAGTAGCCACTGTAAAGCTCACCGTTCAGGGGCACTTAGCACTTGGCACGTCCCCTGCTGTGCGGCCATTGCTGCCTTGTGCTGCCTGGTTCCTGGAGGAAACCAAGCCCTTGGCTGCCATCACCCCGCTTTCTGCCTGGTGGATTTCCTGTGCCCCGTTGGCTCACCAAGGTGCCATCCAACAACGTGTGGCCGATTTGGTCTGTTTACTTCCATCTCGGGTCACTTAAGACTGCACATTCCCAAAAGAGCCCCACCCCACTTTGGGGTCCCCCGGCGGTTAGCGGACACGTGGGTCCCTAGCTTCTGAGACTCTGGACTTGGCTGTGGGCAAATTCTTGGGGAAACCTCAGGAAGCTCAAATGGTTCCAGCCCATCCAGTGTCTGAGGAGACGGGACCTCGCTGCTGTGCAGTTCAACCCTATCATCCCTCCCCCTCCCCTCCCCTAAACAGTTAACATAATTCTTATGGGGAGACATTATAAGCATTTGAATAATGTATTGGATGTCCTAATTAGTAGAACAGAGACGAAAAAAAATTTTTATTTTTTATTTTTGGTAATGAGGATTGGACTCTGGTCCTTACGCTTGTGAGGCAGGCCACCAAACTGATGAGCTAAATCCCCGGCCCCCCCTTCTAGTTTTTTGAGGCAGGGTCTTGCTGCGCAGTCCAATGGTGGTCACTGGAAGACAGACACAAGCCTCCGTGCACTTAGTTTTAGAAGTTCCTCTTGAGAGGGTGGACAAGGTTCTAGGGCCTCCTGAGAAACATGGTCCCCAATTTCGAGCAGCTCGAAGTCCCCTGGAGGAGAATATGGTCATAGTACGATTAAATTAAACTACGGTTCCCAGGGCTGCAGCTACCCTGGGAGACCCCACGTGAGGCCCGCACCTTCTCCCCTCCCTGAAAGCCAGAGTTAGAACAGACAGGGAAAGCTGAATGGCCAGGGAGCCATCTTCTCCAGCCAGACTCAAGTGTCGGCTCCTTGTGGGGCTGGGGGCTCCGAGCTAAGAGGAGCCACCTCCTGCTCTTCGGGTTCCTCTCTCGCTGATTCCGCAGCACCCCGGGTTGTGTAGAAGTAGGAAAGCCTCCAGGCACAGCCTCCCCTCCCCTCCCCAAGGACTCTCAGAGCTTGTTTCCCCACCACCACTGGGGATTGAATCCAGAACCTTTGCACTGAGCTACACCCCAGCTCTTTTCTTATTTCTTACTTTGAAACAGGAACTTGCTAAGTTGCCCAGGCCGGGCTTGAACTTGCAATCCTCCTGCCTCAGCCTCCCGCATACGGGGATTACAGGTGTGAGCCACAGCACAGGACCCATGTTACGTATCACACCTGGGGACTGGGCTTTCATAACTGCAAGCTCTCTGCTCTACTAGAGTTCCTTTATCCTCAGCCAAATCTGCTTTTGTGGCCTGCACAAGGGGCCTAAGCTGACATGGGGACCACTCCTGCCCCTGTGACCACTGTCAGACTGCAGCCAGCCCTCTCAGGACCCCGGCTCTGACACTGCCTCCACATACGTGCAGTTTCCACGTGACCTCGCTCCAGATGTGCTCTTAGATCATCCCTGTGAGTCACAGAGGTCTAGGATGAGATGCCCAGAGAAACATTAATGATGGGAGGCTGAGGCAGGAAGATCGAAAGTCCAAGTCCAGCCTGGGGAACTTATCAGTTTGGCGAGATCCTGTCTCAAAAAGGAAAAAAATAAGAGTTGTGGCTTTAGCTCTGTGTGGAGGTTCTGAATTCAAACCCAAGTGTTGAAAAAATGAAAATTAACAAGGAACCTGTGGGGAAAGGAACCAGGTGAGCTGGAGAAACAGCCTGAGGCTGCCATGAGCCTCTGGGCGGGCCGTGCTGGCTGGGAAACCACATCCTGTCCTGACCGGTGACCCTGCAGGCTGGGAGAAGCCCCCACAGGAGGGAGAGGGACCAGGCACCGACTGCTTAGAGACCCAGAAGGGAGAGCAGGAGGTCAAGCAAACCCGGCCCTTTCCGAGGACAGTAGTAATCCCCAAAGGCCACAGCCTCCGGGCCTCCTCTCCCTTCCTCACAGACTCCCAGAGGGTGCTGGGCACACGGACACCCCGGTTTCGGGGCCCCAGGGTGTCACACCAAAGGCCAGGTTGGCACGAATCCCTCTCGCTTTGGTCTCTTCCCTCTGTTCTGATCACTTTAGGCAGCAGCTCTGCGGACTTGTTTCCCGTGGGTCTTTGCAAGGTGGTCACAAATCCAGTGAGTGTTTCTGCCGAGAGCCACCCAACAGAGAGAGCTCCTAAGACCGCGACGCTGTGTCCTCACCTTTCTTATTCCTGCATCTGGCACCGTGTGGCTGCCGGCTCTTCCCCAAAGTCATGGTGACCCCGAAAGGGAAACGGTTTGAGCCCTTTCAGGACACTGAGGCGGCCAGGTCGGTGCCAACGAAGACCCTCTGGAACTAGGACTCCAGGGCTGCGGCGGACAGTGAGGAGGAGGAGTTTGAGGGGGACTCACGGCACGGTGTCTTTTACGGTAGTAAGTTTTTAAAGTTGCTTGCATTCACTGTATTTTTGAACCGCACCATATTCAGATTAAGAATGTTTAGTTTTTCCAAACTGCATTTCACAAGGATAAAGAATCCCAGGTTCGTCAGGAATTCCTGTGAAATATGAAAAGCCCGGCTCAGGCACCTGCTCTGCACGTGCTCCCTCTGCACAGGTCCTTTGTCCCAGTCCTAAGGGTCTGAAAAACAAGCACAAAGGGCCGCCTTTCCCAGGCCCCATCCGCCCTCCTCCGTCCCAGCTTCCCCGAGAAGCTCCCTTTCCCCTCTTGCACCGAGGGATTTTTAACCCAGGCTGTGGAATGTATTTTCAGCTAAGTAATGAATAGCAATTAAGTGTAGTTGTAGTCGATATATTTTTGGCTTAGGATAAGAAAGAAACCACAATGGACGGCCAGCCCCAAATCATGTTCCTTGCTCTTTTAGGGGAATGTTGTAAGAATGCTCACTGAGTTTCCTGAGGAAATACCAGTGCCTGTTATTTTTATGAAGTTGCAACCAGTGAAAATCTACCCAAAAATACAAGGACCAATTTTTCACATGTGAAAACTTTAATAAAAATGATTCTGTGATAGGATTTTTCCAAGTGGAAACCCATGTCTCTCAATTTGACTCTCCGCAAATGAAAGCATTTATTTCAGAGCAGAAGAAAGATCATGGACAGACAGATTATTATTATTTGTTGTCTCCCTCAGAGGGGACAAGGTCTCACCATGCAGTCCAGACTGGCTGGCGATGTACTCATTATGTGGCCCAAGCTGACCTCAAACTTGAAATCCTCCTGCCTCAGCCTCCTGAGTGCTGCAATTACGGGCATGTGCCACCATGCCTGGCTGGAAGCAGATTCTTTTAATGAAGTAGGGTCAAGGGAAGAGGAGTGTAATTGCAGGGGAAAGAATTAGGGGCCGCTTCACCACAAGTCACTGGGAAATGGAGAAGTGGATTTCAGGCAGACTCACCTGCAGCCTCTTAGAAGCGCTGTGTTCGAAACCGACTGCTGTGCCCGTGGCTTGGGGGCGCAGCTGGCCAAGACACACGGTCCCTTTCTTCAGGGCAGAGAGCAGGAGCTCCCAGAGCCCCAGACATCAATCACAGTTGTGCTAAATATTATAAAGGAAAAGTACAGAGCGTCTTGAGGAAGAATTTCGCAGGGTTGAAGAATTGCTTTCAATGTATCTCTTGATCGAGGGAACACATTTAAAAGCCCTCCCCCAAGCTTCAGTTTGGAGTTTCTTCTTCACTTTAAATTTTTGGAAGTTGTTTGGAAGACTGCCTTGAACAAACGAGCAAGCAAACAAACAAATGTATTAATGTGTTAGCTGAGGGAGGCCTGGGGGTGCACACCTGTGATCCCCGCACTCTGAGAGGCTGAGGCAGGAGGACTTCAAATCTAAACCCAGCCTGAGCAATTTAGAGACTTGGCAAGATCCTGTCTGCAAATAAAGAATTTGAAAAGGGTGGGGGGAGGGGTTTGGCCCAGTGGGAAGCCCTGACATTCAGTCTCCAGGGTCACCAAGTAACAATAATAAGTAATAATAATAACCATAATAATATTTTATTATGGCCCCAGCCCAAGCCTGGATGTTCAGCTAAGATGAAGAGATGACTTCTTGGTTTCTAGTGACTTGGTGTTGCTCGTATAATTTCCCACAAGCTTCTTTGAAGGCCAAGAAATACACATTTATCGAGAGCAGCCTCTGCTGGGAACAGGACCTGTTTTACCCAGCAATGCGCAGATGTGTGCACCCCTGTGCTTGTTTTGCAGATGAGAAACTGAGACGCAAGAGATGAAATAATTTGTTTCCAGGCCGCAGAGCTTGGAGATGGAGGAGAGGAGAGAGAGCGCGTGAATTTGACTGACAATCGGTCTATTGTTCACGGAGCTTATGGGTTGAGCAAAACTACTTAGAGCCAACAAAATGCTTTTTGCTTTTTTTTTCCTTTTTTGATTGTCTACAGAAGAAAAAAGAGCTGGGGCGTCCGGGAGAGAAACGGGAGCCGAGGTCCCCTGTGAAATCACTTGTAGTAAAACTAGATGGTGCAGAACTGCGAGAGCCGAGCCTTGCATCAGGCGCTTGGTTAAGATGTTTGTTTCGCCTTTAGCAGCCTTTGAAATAGGTGCCAAGGTAAGATCAACCGAGAATTTATTTTGTGAAATAGAAGAAAAATTGCACAATGTCACCTTACTCAATGGACAAAGCTTTTCCTTCTCAGTGCGGGGGGAGAGAAAAAACTAAACTTCACTGGAAGGGAGAAATCAGAGAGAACCAGAATAAGGAGCACGCAAATCAAGCTCTGCTTCCTGCAGGAAAATCAGTCAAGAATGAAAGCCGCAGCGCGCAAGGGCAGGGTGTTCTGCAGGTGCTCGGGACCTGCCCTCTCCGCGGAGGAAATGGGCCCCAGGAGCTTCACCCATGGTCTCTCTTCTGTCCGTGGTATAAGCAAAGAGCTAAACAAAGGAAACGGAGGTGGATCTTTTGCAAATGGGAAGGGACCAAGAGATGGAGGGAAAAAGGAGAGAGAGGAGGGAAGGAAACAGAGACGAGATTTGTTCCATGCACGCACCAGGTTTCCCACGAGGAAGCGCTCACTGCGCACTGCAAACATGGACTGATAAAAACAGACAGAAGAGAAAAGGGCGGTGCGTGCGTTCCGGTCTTGGCTCTGCTGCCTCTGCCCGAGGTGGACCAGACCCCTGTCCGTTTCCAGATGGGCTTGGGGGCTTCATGAATGTCCCACAGCTGTACAGAGCCACGATCCAACTGTGCTGAGGGTCTGTGCACACAGAAATGTGTATATTAGGAGTGTACGGTAGAAAAATATAGGTAAAATATATGTAAAAGGTCGGCTTTTGTTTACAAAGGATAACTGTTATCTTTAATAGGACTCTTCTCTTGGTCCTGTTGAAAGCAATTCTTCGATGCACTTTGGCAGCAGATTCTCTTATAAGAGAGTTCCTTCCTTGTACTAATTGTGGCTGATGGCAGAGTTCTCTACTGCACTTTTGTGTGTGTGTGCTTTTGTTTGTTTGAGACAGGGTCTCACTATGTAGTTCAGGCTGGCCTTGAACTCACTATGTAGCTGAGGCTGGCTTCAAACTCGCTGAGATCCTCCTGCCTCAGCCTCCTGAGTGTTGGAATTACAGGTGTGCACCACTATGCCTGGCTCTACTGAGCTTTTGTTCTACCACCAGTAGCAGACAGTGACCTGTCCCTCTCCCCTTCCTCCACTGGACGGCTTGGTTACTGCTGGTCAAGAGTAGATCTGGACCCTTCCACATCCACCAAACAAAATAGAATTCTAAAAGGTGCCTGCGATCAATCTCTTTAATTGAGATTAAACGTTATGTAGACATGAGCTACTTTCCTCTCATCGTAAAATAATCAGTACCCTTCTGGACTAGCTGGCGTGTCACACCTGTTCACCTCTACTTCCTATGGAGTTGAGAGAGTGTTAGCAGTTCACCAGCAGCCTAGTTCAGTAGAACAGTGTGCGCGTGCTTTGAAATATACATGAGATAGTTGTGAAAATTTTGAGTTTGTATATCTATTATTTGCCCTGTGTGTGTGTGTGTGTGTTTTACTGGGAATTGAACCCAGAGCCTACTCACTGAGCTACATTGTTGTCTGTCTGTCTGTGTCTCTCTCTCATTTGAGACAGGGTCCCACCAAGTAACATAGTCACCCAGGCTGGCCTTGAGCTTGCAGTCCTCCTGCCCAGCCTCCTGGAGTGCTGGGACTGCAGGGCCAGCTGCAGCAGGAAATACTTTCAGGGTTTTCTCCAACCCACAGAGGGCGCACACAGCCCCGCAGCTCTCCGTGGGGCACTCTGGGACACCACTCTCTGGGACCGCAGGAACACTGTGGGACAGAGCAGTAGCACAGTGGACCCGGAGAAGACAGAAGGAGCGGGCACTGTCCGCAGGCCTGGGCTCCCCGCCTCTCAGGACAGAGCTGGCTCCTGGTGACAGAAAGAACCTCAATCTCTGTCCCCATAGGGGGGGCTGCGGGACTTGTGAGCCTGGGAGCAGGTTCCGGGTTCCCTGTGAGGCGCCTGAAGGACAGAGGCCAGGATGGAAGACGCGACAATCATGGGCCTTGTGTGGGCGCTGGGGGTGACGGCATCTGTGGGTGCTGTGAAAAAGCTTTTCATCCTGCAGAATAATTAAACGAAAAGGAGGATGCTGTGGAACGCTGCAGCACTCCGGGGAATTTGTCTGCTCTGGAAAAAAAAGAAGACTGAAAATATTGAATAGGGTCTGAGTTATGACGTGTGGAGGATTTTCCTGATTTACTTAGAGGAATGTGCAGATTCCTCGGTCTATAATTTTAAATAACAACATTCAAAAAGGATGGACACTTTCTTAAAAAAAATTTAAAGTGGAGGCACACAGGGATGAGGGAGACCTGAGGGACAGAATTTTTCTTTTTATAAAATGTCAAAGACCTAACCAGACTAAACCTAATGCTCACTTTGTTGGCTTGTTTGCTTGCCTCTTTCTTTCTTTCTTTCTTTCTTTCTTTCTTTCTTTCTTTCTTTCTTTCTTTCTTTCTTTCTTTCTTTCTTTCTTTCTTTTTTCTTTCTTTTTTGAGACAGAGTCTTACCATGGAGTTCAGACTGGCCTTGTCTCACTATGTAGCCAGGCTGAGCTTGAACTTGCGTGGTCTTTCTGCCTCAGCCTCCTGGGTGCTGAGGTTGCAGGCGTGCACCACCACACCAGTACCTTGGCTTACTTTATTTTATTTATTTATTTTTTTGGTACTGGGGATTGAACTCCAGATCTTCCACTTGCAGGGCAGGCGGTGGCGCCACTGAGC